ACCAAGCATGCACTCTCTTTCTGTTTGACACACTTTCCCTGCATTTAATTGCCAGCAGTTTTTGGTACAGTTGTTTTATTTGTTAAGATGTGTTTTCAGTGCTGAGCAGCAGGCATGACTTATGCAGACCACTTAGACACTATGTTCCTGCCAGTTTCTTTCCTAATGCAGAGGATCATGTTTTTTGAACAACTAGCCTTTTATACTTATGGTGGTGTGACAATGTGTTGTCGGGCATCAGGCCACATGCAGCTGGGTTTAATTCTGTCAGGGCGGGGCAGAGGCAGCTGTCAGGGAAGAACCACAGATGAACTGTAAGCAGATGCTGGCAGATGTTGAGTCCTGCTCTGGATTTAAACCAACAAACAGGGTGGTAAGATAGTGACAGAGTTTGGTGAAGGTTGGAATAAGACAGCCACCATGTCCACTGGATGTAAACTGTGGCTGGGTCGGATGTTGATGTGAGTGTGTGTCTGCTTTTAAAGACGGATGTGCCGCATAGGTTGTGGAAGTATGCATCTTGCATGTTTTGAATGCTGGAGTTAGGTTTTCCTTCTTTTCTGTGACAGTGTTTATAGAACTCTACATTCACACACTTGGAGTGAAGAAGACATTTGGACTGGAGAATTTCAAACATACTTGTAGTACAGAATTTTAGAATCTAAATTCTTTCCAGATGTAGTTGCACTTCACTTCAGCTTTCTGTTTTTCACTGACAGAAACCAGCTTTACCCTCATCCCAGCTGTCTATCAAACCTGAAGGCTACATGGGTTCAGTCACCATTTAGGAAGTTTTGTTCTTTTTCTTCTCCTCTGTGTTTCGCCAAAACAGCAGACACATCCTTTGAAGGCTGTCAGGTTCAATCTCATCTGGGTAGCACTGAAAACGTCTGCCAGCAGTTGGGTCAGTGAACTGTTCACTCACCAAATATTCTGTGCTGAATTAGAAATCTCAGTGTTTTTCTTCCTCAACATATTGTCAGAAGAGGCAGAGTTGTCATTTTTGCAGAAGGTAGAAAGCCTGAGTGCAGCTGAGGTGGAGTGAGCAACCAGCACAGTGTGATCGGCTGATGCATCCCTTTTTATCATAAAGATGACCAGCAGAGATTTCAATGATCTTTTGAATAATAGTTTATTTCCAGAGATTTTTTCCCCCCCTTCCATTGAAGTCACCACCCAGTGGCCTTTAGAGGAACTGCAGGTTCAAGTGATTCACACTTGTTCTGTATACAAGTATTTCATGGAGGTTCTTTAATTTTGTGAGATTTCTATAATGCCAAGTTTAACTTTAAAATGTTCAGGATAGTGGTCAAACATGTGGAATCACCTTTTTACTTTTACAAAGATCAAGATTTTTAGACTATCAGATGCTTTTTCTTCAGTGTAAATGTTTTTAAAGCACAATATGTGAATAGTTTTGCAAAACTGAGCTTTTCTGTCTATTTTCAGGTTGAATGTAGTTCAGTTTAGAGTCAGAGGTTTAGAGTCTGGTCAGAGTACAGGTAGGTGTGTGTGCCTCTGACGGTCAGGATGAGGTACGCTGTGGCTCTCACCAGAGACATGTCTCTTTTTTTTTTCTGGTAAATGTTTCAGGTTGAACCTGCCCCAACACCCTCCTAATGCCAGTTTCCAGACTCTTATATTTTTGGTCAGAACAGACTGTCCCATGATTCAGCTGTGGTATGACTTTACTCGTAGTTACTTTTGGAATGGCATTCTCATCGGTCGGATGTGGCGCCTAAAGCATCACAGGAATGGAGGCAAAAGATCCCTCAGATGGGGCAACGTTTATGCAGCTTGGCCCCGCCCTGCCTCGTTTCACAGCAATATAAAAATATGTTTATGGCTATACAAAGTTTTATTTGTCCAAACAAGCG